ATTTAGATTTAGATTTAATATTTAGATTTAACATTTAACATTTAAGTGCCACATTTAATATTTAGATTTAACTATTTAATATATTTCTAAGTTAACAAATATTGTTGTAAATGTGGTAAAAGGTGACGTTAAAAAATTCACAACACTTTATTAAACATTGTTTGAAGCTAAATGTGGCAAAATGTTGATGTTATTTTCAGCGTGAGCCACTTTACAAACAGCACCCCATAAGATAGAGATATAAATATATAATTTATTATATATATAAATCTTTCGTATGATTTTTGACATATATAAGTAATATAACATCTCATGTTTACCTTAAAACTATTTCAACACAAATTATGTACTTCACCAATATGATTAATGGACTGAAACGTGTTGCCCTCTTCCTCCTTGCTTCATGGTTGGCCATGCTTGTTAACAAAGGGGGTGTTGCTCTGCTGCAGTCCACTTTAGATCATGTGGAACACTGTGATTGGCTTATAGACGTCCCATCAAATAAGTCATTACATTTGGGTGGAGTCAGATGACAGAAATCATAGGTCTAAACATCTTAGAAAAGTAAGGTCCATTGGAATGGACGGGGGGATCTTAGGGTTAAATTACACTGTAGATCCAAAACTTTGCCAAATATGCCACACTCAATTTTGGGAAAAGTATAAAACGATTTACAAAATAAAGCACAAAACATCCAGACTATTTTCATTTGATGGTTGTATATTCAGCGTTAACATCATAAAGCTTTAGTGAAGACTTGGAGGATGAGGACACAGAGTGTCAGGCAGTGTTGGATAATAGGATTTTTCTCAGCTTAAAGCTTCTTAAATAAACATAAACTAAAAGAGGAAAACTGGGAGGTGCACCACCTACCAACACGCGCTTCTTTCATGACTTATCCACTGCACCTGGCAGCATAATCACTGAACATATTCTTTAAACTGAAGAACACACACACACAAATAGGATGCTCAATATGTTAAAAAAAGAGTTATTTTCCCAAGTTAATTTAGCAAAAACTGGTCAGTAGCCTGTTACTCTGATCTTCTGCATCCTGCTTTGTAATTGCAAAGTTAATACATGGTGCCAAATGTGCAAAATGCTAAACATTAAAATAATGTATTCAACTGTCCAAACAACAGATGTTATCAACTTCTTCTTAACATTTCATTGCATTTAAAGGGGCACCATTTTGAGAGAGATTCTCAGCATGTTTCATGTGAACCACAGTGTCTTCATTGAACAATTATCACTTTATATGGACAACTTTGTCCACAGTGGACACAGGAAGAGCCCCAGTGAATAATCCACCCGAGTTGAACTGAAGCTGTGACGTACGCTAATGTCGTACACAAAGAAGAAAAAAGAAAAAAAAAAAAAGAATTCAAGAAGGACCAAATTACTGGCCTTTTTTCCACATTACAAAATAAATAAATAAAAGAACAAAGTTGCATCTGTTTTCGTTATCACCAGTGGTCTCATGACATAAACCACATGAATGCCAATCATGTGGGGTTCATACATGGACTACAGAAATGAGAAGACAACATTAAGCTTAAATCTGCCACTTCCTGTAGGCAGACTAATTTCGCCCTCACTATGCTCAGTTACACCCTCTGCTGCAGACTGACCACTGCAATCAGAACAGCTCCTTCACGTCTTAGCTCCTGTCTAAGGACTACGTGTCACCTCCTCCTCCCTGATTCCTGCTGGCAAATATGAGCTCTCTACCATCGTTCTCTTCCCCGAGCTTTAATTTACTATCTCCAGAAAAAAGCTTAAAAAATCATCCTGTCTTGCTAGTTGTCATCTTACTGCTCTCACACACGAGTACTACCTGCACAGATCTGAACCCTGCTCTCCTCACTGACTGCTTATGATGTTAATATAAGCATTACATTATTCTACTTTGCATTTATTGTATGTCAGCTTGACACAGCACATCAGCTCAGTTACAGCGTGTTTGTGTGTGTGTGTGTGTGTGTGTGCATAGTATGTACGTTTCCAGTTGGAATAAGTGAACTGACAATTTCCAGTTGGTTTAATAAACAATTGTGAGTCACAATGAAATAACATTTAAACTCCAAAAAGATAATGGTAAAAAAAAAATGCACCCTTCAAATTCAAATCTAAAGCTAAGCCTTTCACACTGCAAGAGCGAGTTCAATGATAAGAAGCAGCTGAAACACCTTGACGCCAATATCAAACACACCATAACCAAACATGAACCAAAGCACATGGTCAGCAAAACAAAATGTCATTGTATGTGTAACCAGATGTATCCGCTTTGAGTTCACACATTAGATCCTGACAACCCGTCAGTTTCCGTACACATCAGCTGGTCACTCACCCATCACTCGGAGCCTCTCGGCGCCCACCACCACCTCCTGCTCGTCGGCGGAGAAGAGCAGCTTCCCAGAGGTGGATTTGACTTCAAACATCTTGCCTCGTGCTTTAAATCCACTGGATCCTGAACCGAACACACACAGAAAGAGGGGAGACATCAAAGAGGAGCGACTGGAGCTGATTTCTTACCGAATTAACTCTGGATTTGGACATTTAAAATGCATCCAGGTGGAAGACATTCAAGGTGTGCTGCAGGACCTGCTGACTTAGGCAAAAGAATACTCAAACTTTACTTTCAGAGCCAAACCCCATCATAGTTTCTAGTCATTCTGGTGTCATTCATGAGATTGTTGAATATTAATGATAACATGTTTTGCTTAATGTGTCATTACAGCCAAAGAGGACCATAATACTCGCCAGGAAGTGTCACCTGAATAAACTCACAGTGTTAAATTAAGGCTGGCCACCAGGTGTACTGCTGTATTGTAGTATAGTGCAGATCGACATCACCAGTTGGTCAGAAATACAGCACATTATAAACTTTAGTAATCTTTGAGGGTTTTTTTGCCACTTGAGGTCAGATGAACTGTGTTAACACAGCACTGACCTACTGTTTCCTTATTAAACTGATATGGAGGAGGTGTTAGCAAACAGTTGATCCCTTTAGCACTGTTTTGGTTTCCACCAACTCCAGAACACATCTAGCTCTTTAGCTGTTAGCCGCTAAGTTTGTCATGATTTAAGTAGATTTATTAGAGCTTTTCCTTTGAAAATGGCTGCCTGCTGCAGCTGGAAACAAGGATAATGAAAGCAGTGAGAGTGAAGAAAACAGTAAAGTTTTGGGCTGAAAACCAAAACAGTAAGCTGAAAGATGCTAAAACGCTCTGTAGAACTGAGGGGGATGTCGGAGTCTCTTTGGGTTTGTCACTACCAGAAGTTTCTCTAGATGTATTGTTTATTTACACATTGACTGTGTATCTCGATTGGAATCTATTATTACAAATCCAAGGTGATTACAGCTACTGTTTGTATGAAATAATGGACACAGTTAGCACAACTTCACCCATTGGTTTGTGGACTCCCATTTTGAAGCCCCGAGTTTGGCATTTCGACTTCCGCCATCTTGATTTTTCTGAGCCAGAATTGGCCAAATTTGGACGAGAACGTGGAGCTGTGAGGGGTGGATCTGACTCATAAACTGTGGTGACGCCACGCAGACAGCCTGTCAGTCAATGTAGCATGCCCTAATTATGCAGAATGTCAAGCCTTATTAAAAGAGAAATGGGTGAATTACAGAAAAAGTCACCCCTTGTATCGTTGTAATAAATGTTGATATTAGCTATAGAGACCAAAACTGCTTTTTTGTACTAGACTGTAAACATGCTTATTTCTGATGTCAATTTTAAGCCTCAAGTAGCTATTCATATCAGAGCATGTGAGCAGAGCGGAGCGGGTGAAAATTTCCACTCCTCGCTCGCAGACCTGTCACTTTGCGCCGCTCGTCCGCTCCGCTTGGTTTTGCGCATTCTTCACTCCGCTCCACTCCACTCCATCATAAATTTTATCCCGCTCCACTCGCTCACCACTCCGCTCAAAAAAACTATGTCGTATTACCCTAACCTGTAATCTTCTATTCACAAATAAAACATGAGCTTGGTAGATTCTCCGGGGAAGCCCTCTCCCCTCTCCCCGCAGTTAGGGACCGTTCTCCATGGTATCGCTGTCGGCAGGGTGGAAATAAGTCAAAGTGTAGAGGAGACGGACCGGGTTAAGCGGCCGACCTCCAGGGAAGCCCTCTCGCCTCTCCCCGCAGTTAGGGACCGTTCTCCAAGGTACCGCTGCTTCTCTTCTCAGTTTCTTTTCTGAAGTACACAGTAAACTCCATAGCTTTGAAAGAAAATAGTGTGGGTGTGCGCAGGTGCAAAGATGCATTCTGGGTGGGGCATGAGCGACCGGAGCGAAATTGGAGCGAGAGATAAGGCTCCGCTCCACCTTTTAAAAAAAACAGCCACTCCTCGCTCAACACAAAATCCTTCCGCTCCCCGCTCAGCTCTGCTCCGCTCACATGCTCTGATTCATATGTCAAAAAAGCAATAGTTTTTGGCTTTAGGTGGCTTGTTTTAGATCATTGTCAATCAACCCTTTGCTAAGCCCCTCACTTTTATAATGGTCCGTCAAGCTATTGGAACTAGCATGGAGCCCACACTGTAATCAACTGCACACCCTGAAGACATATTATTTCAAAGTTTTTAAAAAACAAAAGCTATTCCAGAGAGAAGCAGACAGAGGGGTCTAAAGTCTGTGTTTGAAGCATATTTCCAGGATGTCAAACTGACTCAGCGACTAAAACAGGTTAAAAAGATTAAGATAGGTAGAAAAAAAGCCTGGCAATAGAATACAGATCAGAGTGTAAATGTGAACCACCACATCACTGGCAATCAAGAAAGAAGACCATGAATATAAAGGGAAACTTTGCCAATATTCAACCAGCTGTGTGTCTTAATTCACTGTTATGACCATTAAAAAGTAAAAGTAGCATGTGACATTCAGCAGGCTATAACTTCAATAGCTAGCTAGCTAATCTTACACATTTCAGCGTATGACTTTGTTTTTGAAATGGGATGAAACAAACACCTCCTTCCAACCTCTCCAGGTAATGATTATCAGTTATAGACGACATGCTCCAGGCTCAATGTTTAGCTCGAAATCCACAAAACCAGCCTGGAAATGAAGAAAATCTGATACGGCTGCATGAGATTCTAAAGACAACAGACGAGTGGTTGTCGGACCCTTGTTGGAGCTGGCAGATGCTATGCTATGATTGGCCAGTCTGCTTCCAAGGGGCGGGACTTAGCAAAGGGTCAATTATGCTACATTGCTATACATCAGTGCTGACCATGTTCCTTCCTGTAAGTGTGAAAATTAACTTGATGACACGTATTTTGAGGTCGTCCCACAGAATGAACCCCATTCCATCTGTTACATGTGACAAAGTTATGTCAGTGTTGTGTGGCAATGCAATGAAAACAATTCAAAGAAAATATATAAAAACACTTGTTTGTGCAACTAAGTCATTATGTAACGCAAACTGTGAGTGAGCTGGTTTAAATCAAGATGTGCAGGTTTAGCTTTGGCAAAACTACATGCTGCTTTGGAAATACAGCACTGTGAATGCTTGTGTACCTGCTCTTATTTCAACTCTTGGAATTTTACACTTCAAAAATTAAACTCTGACAGTATCTTAACCTCTCTAACTCCGCCAGGAGGCCGACGTCCTCGCTCCCTCCCTCCTCTGTTAAATGGTATCTCCCAGGCGCACTACGTCATCAAACCATGTGATGTTTGGTATTGACAGATTCAGGAAGCTCTCGACTTTTCAAAAATAACATTGTTTTCATTTTATTTATTATGTATTTCACACCAGAGCAGCCTAAACACACACAGTCCAAAATCGCGATGAGTGGTGACAAGTCATGTCATGCCGTTTTTCGACGGGAAAAGTTAGAGGATTACTCGCAATCTTATGGGGAGCTGTTAGCAGGCACGTAGCTGTTTTAAAGTCTCACTCCTACCACTATTTTTGGCTGAGATCTACCGTCTAGAAAGTGGGATTATAACTTTCACGTTTCATATGGCTTTATTTGATGATATTTTATGGTGTTTCTGTGTCATAAACAACATCAGCTATCATAATCACACCTGATTTCAATAAGGTACAATGTTTGAAGCTGGCTGAGTGTTGTTTGATCATTGATAGTACTGTTTTGAAGCCGAGTGAACGCTCTTGTCATTTGGAGCTCCGCCTGGATCTTTTCATGGAAAAAACACTGTAGAATGGTCATACTTTGAGCAGTCTTCTTCAAATTTGAAACAAATGTTCATTGATAGTGTGCCTACAGCCCCACAGTGTCATTTACCTGCTCAGATGAAGCCACAGACAGTTATTCATCATAAAACACATTTTTTATTTTATTTTAGGCAAAATCTTCAATTTTTTACTGACTTCAGAGGCCCATTACTCTGTCTCTGTATCACCTAGAGTGTTTCTGACACTTTCACAGGAAACCTCAGGGAGTTTTCTTTCTGGCAAGACCTCATGCATGCATGTAGTCAGAGCGGTTCAGAGGCTACAGTCATTTTAATTTGGGTATGTCATTTTAGGCGTTTTTGCTACAAAATGGGGTTGGAGTGCAAGAGGTATTAATCTACAAAAGCATAAATAACAAACATATTGAGATGAATAGAATAAACAAACAATTTAGAGTAGTTTGTGGTGAAATGTTATTTCATCCATATTTGACCAGTTTGTGGAAGAGAATTCTACTGCGACATTTTACTGAAGGTCTGCAGGAAACTGCAGAAAATACTCAGATCCAAACTGCCAAAACTGAGACTGGTGTCACAACAAACAAGAAATAGAAAATGTAGACAACTCCCTCCAACTCAAATTGCTTTGTCTCACGCGGTAGCAGAAAACACTCTGCGCTGGGGGTGACTGATTGACGTACGCGCAATTGATTCTGTCACTCTCCATCTGGGATGTGAAGTTCCTCCCCATACACGAACGCCGCTTAGTCATCCAAGAGAAACATCCGAGCAGATTTCGTCTTCCTCCTCTTCAGACCCAGAAGGCAAATGTCAGCGCACTTTTTAACGTGAAAGACACTTCCTGTGCATGTTTACACAAAGTGATTTCTATTCACAGCAGACTGCCAACTCTATTAGAGTGTGACAGGCGGAGAATGGAGGAATGTAAAGAAGAAAGCGCGATCACAGAGTTATGGTGGTGCAACTGAGGCCTCTGCTGGCACACTTGAGGGGAACGGAGGAAGAATTTATGATGTGCTAATGTATAATCCTGAAAAATGAGGCAGTGACTCCTGACAGTTAGAGTTGTGGTTCCTAACCTGAGAGTCTGGACATCCCCATAGGGTCCGTAGATAAATCTAAAATTGCACATTGATTAAAACGATGACAAAGAACATATCTACTACAGAAATTTAGATTTACTTTTCCTTGATCTTGCTCTAATGTTTGTCTTAATGTAAAATACTGGATAGTTTTACCTCTCAATGTTCAAAATTAAACAATCTCTAAAAGGGAATATCACGATTTATGATCCCAGTAACGCTACAAAGCTTCACCATACTTTCAAAAGAATGTTCCAACTGGTAATAAAGCATACGAAAAACATAAAAGAATGTGAAATTTGCCCTAGGATCGCTTTGTAAAAAAATAAAAAGCCTCTGCACTGACCAGTGGAATATATGAAACTTCGAAATGTCATGCATCTGTTGCAGCTGATGTCGTCAGTGTTGTCAGGTTTGATGTTTTTGAGAAATGAAAACATGAATCATATCAAAAGAAAAAAAGATCAATAAAATACATGAAAGAGTGCTGCGTCTTACCTGTTACAAGTTGTGTGAGCAGCTGGTTGTTGCTGTTGACAATATTGACCGACACGTTTCTGGACGACTGCAGGAACAGCGGGCGGCCCTACAGAGACAAAGACGAGTTTATTTATTCACTTTGTGGTACAATGGTTTTTAAATTATACATTTTTCTGTTAGGAACAATAACAAGTACTGATGACAAAACGGGAAAAAACATCCCACCCCAACAGTTGTTTGTTCAAACTTAAGATGTTTTCTGACAAAGGAAAGAGCAGTGTCTTATGTCCACAGTGTCCTCACTCTCAGGGTGTAAACTCAGACTTGTTCTCACAAAGAAAGCATAAAACCATAATCTATAATAATTACATTTTTGTCCTATATGGGGACAGCCTGAACCTATATTGAAGGTGCACACTGATGTATTTGCAAGAAAAAAAAAAAACCTTAACCAACTGGAGGTGGACTTGCAATGTTAAACAGTGATCTACCTTCCAGTTTGTTGTGGGGCTCTAAGGAGGATGGCAGTGGCGCTCAGTGGGTCCATCAGTTTGGTCCAGACTGACCTCATCATGCATAATTAATTGGCTGCCAAATTCTGATGACTGTGTTGACCCCATGACTTTCAATCCAGGGCTTCTGACATTGACACCTTTTTGGTCTCAGATAGAAATTTGTCAACAACGACTGAACAGGGCGACCATGATATTTGGTTTAGACACTCATGTTCCCCTAAGGATGCATTATGACTCAGTTGATCCCTTAACATTGCCTCCAACACCTACCCTGGAAATCCAGAGTTCTCACGAGAGCACAATTTGAATTTGCTCAGCGAGTCACTCTGGCAATCAGTAATGATGCTCATTACCCATGCCGTTGGAGCCGAGCTGCACCAATCACATCGGTGTATCTGATATCGGCGGGCCAGAGGCAAGCTAAACAGATGACGACAGCGCTGCGACAACGAAATCCAGAATCAGTCAGTAAACATTGCAAGATGGCTACGGATGAACACCAGTTGTTTGAAACAGCTTTGGCAGCTACAATGAACGAGTTAGACTTGGCTTTTTCTCTAAAAGAGGAACAGAAGACGGCGCTCGAGTCTTTCCTTTGCAAGAAGGACGTTTTTGCTGTTTTGCCGACCAGATACGGCAAGAGTCTAATCTACCAGTTAGCTCCGCTGGTAGCTAAGCTCTGGATACGTCACCCCGTGTATTGTTCTGATTGGTCGTAGTGTTATCCAATTGCGTGCAGTGATATTTTCAAATGCATGCTTGTTGCCGCCCCTCGAGTTGGGCCATTTTCATTACTCATAGCCAGACCCTAAATCTTTCTAGATTTGGGTCTGGATTTCCAGGCTATCCAACACCACCATTTGGTTAAAACTTCAATTAAACTACTACAATGAACACGGTAAATATTATGACTGCTTAACATCAGCATGCTGGACTTGTCACTGTGATTGTGTTAGCTTGCTGAAGTTAGCATTTAGCCGTGTACAGCCTCACAGAGCTGGAGACCTTCAGTCTTGGTTGTCCTTTATGGTTGTTTGTTAAGGTGGAGGGCACACACATCCATAAAACTTTTTACAGGTGCTGGATCAAGGACTCAAACTAAAGCATGAACCAGACAGGAGAGCCACACACTGTATTAAAAGTTCCCAGTAGTTTTAGGTGTGCAACCTTTCAAGATCTTCATCAGCCATTTTGCAAAAAAATGGATAAATAAAATAACTAAATAATGACTTCAAAATGCCTGATGTTGATCTCTGTTACATCAAAACACTGCACAAGTAAATCTACTGGGCGCTTTTAATACAGTGTGGAGCTCTGTTGTCTGGTTTTTGTGGTGTAATCGTTACCCTGCATTCATGTGGTGTTGAAATAATCCCCCCAAAAAAAAGTCCTTGGAAAATTCATATTGAAAATTCGAATCGATCAGATTGCCCCCTCAAGTTGGAACAACTCGGAAAGTTTTGGTACAAGTTGCCAAGTTGAACTCACATATCGTCACTGTCTGATGAAAAACATGCATCTCCACTTTTGACGATTTTGACTTTGATGGACACTTCTGACACCCAATGGAGATACGTGTTGAAGAGATGATGTAATAGACGTCTTTCCATTGGTCATTTGGATATCCAATGCTAACGGTTGCTAGGGAATATTATGGACACTCCATGCACTGTAGAAAGTCAAAATCGTCCAAAGTGGAGATACATGACAGCGACGATATGCAGAAATATGGTGGACAAGAGTAACCGTTCTATTGATGGTAATAACGTATAATCAGTTCCCATATTGCTTGTAAATTTTTTGCTCACGTTATTATTTATAGGGCATTAGATTGTAGCCTTTGGTTGCTGTCCACGTAGAGTGACCTAGCTTAATAAGAAAAGTTATTTATTAGCGTTATTTAGGTATATCAATATTTTAATAGTTTTGTGAGATGTACTGGTGCAGCAACAAGTCTGTGACAAAATTTCTCAGTAATATAAAGCTTCAAAATGTATTCAAGATGTTGTTTAAACGATCCCAGCTATAAATTATAACATATCTTCTTTGGTGGCCATGTTGTTTCCACATTACAACTTAAAGCTCATGAACAGGGTGTCGCTAGTGTAGTGGATAGTGCCGGCGCCCCATATGCAGAGGCAATGCCTCGCTGCAGCGGCCGCGGGTTCGATTCTGGCTCGCAGCCCTTTGCTGCATGTCAGTCCCCACTCTCTCTCTGTCTCCCCATTTCAGTTACAGTCCTGTCATTAAAGGCAAAAAGCCCACAAAAATAAAAAAGCTCATGAACACCACAAAGTCAAAAGAACTACTTGCCAACTCAGGAAACGTGACCACATGAGCGGCACGTGGATGCAGCATTACATCCAGTGTTCCCTGTCAATAACTACAGAAGGCTCACCTGATTAACACACACCTGAGCTGACTTGGGGGGTTGGGCTTATATAGGCTGAGCCGGCTGTAGTACTAAAAAGCACAAGAGCACATATGTGTAACATATGCATGCGTCCAAACTTCACACACATACACACACACGCGCGCACACAATAACTGTCCGAGCTCAGACACTTCAGCCTCCTGCTCCGTTTGATAACTTCCATTTTCCAGAGTGCCCCGCACCAATCGGTAATGCTGATCACGTCGGACACTCGGCTCTTTCTCTGCCCGACTAATCTTCATGCCTCAGTCAACTTCTTAATTAGAGATAACGGCCTGACCATTGTGCTGCGCTCGCAGCCGAGGAGGGGATATGTCTTGTGTGTATAATACTGATAACATTATGGCTCTTGCCAAACTTATTGAAGTTCTCACAGTAAATACACCAAATGTATGATATGCAAGCAAGAAACTATTACAATAACAATGTGGTGTGACCTGAATGTGAAACTAAGAAGAAGTTTGAACGTAGTTGATAAATAGAAGGTGTTGCAGTGCTGATAATAACAGTAACGTTAACTGTGGAGTCATTTGAGCATGTCAGATTTGACAAGTCCACTCCATCTGTCAAGGTTTCGGAGTATGTGACTTCAACTAGCTTGACTTTTAAAAAAAATCTGTTATTTCCAAGGTACTGTGGCATCAAAGTATTCTTACTTTTCTTTATCTCTAGTGGCCATTGTCAGAAGCATTTAAATAAGGAAAAACAATCCCTGTGAGGCTTTTGTGCCTTTGTGTCTCTCAGTCACACTCCCCAAGTCTTCAAAATGAAGGACAATTTCTTAGAATCTAATCCAATGCCTGTTAAATGTTGTTGTAAGAGAAGCTTTTTGGCTTCATCCAGATTTATTTCAAGCACGTTTTGTCTCACACCAGCTCTCAAACACACAGAGCCCAGATTGTATAAGTGCTCTTGAGTGAGAGAGTTGCTAAAAGCCGCTCGACTGGGAGCCATTTAAAACTTCTTAAAACTACAATGAGGTAGTTTTGTGACATGTTGTACTTCAGGGCCAGTACTCACAAAAAAAGTGCAACTGTACTGGGATTGAAAAGCTGCCAAACACACCACACAAGACAGAATAAAACAGAAGGACTGACCATGTGCTCAAACGGACTGAAGCTCTGTAATAACAAAATAAAGCTCTGATAACATCACTGCAAAAACCTTAAAGTCGTTTTTTGTTTTACTTGTTTTAAGAATATAGGAGTTCTGTTTTCATACACTTTCCATTAACAGATGTCTTACAGCTTCATTGACTGCTAGGTCTAGTGAAATCTTGGTCGCAATGTGTGACAGACTGCAAGATATCCATTTCTTATCATATACATGTTGGGTGAATTGTGTAATGTTTGCATTGTTGTACTACATGCAAATAGAGAAATAACAAGCTTTGCCATAGGGTTGGAGAATGGGGCTTAGCCAGTGAGTCACTGCTCACTCTTTAGCTTTCAATACCTGCAGCTGTGCTGACATCAGTGACAGACAAAAGAGGGAGAACATGAAAAATATTGGTAAAACAGTGCAGTGTGCATGGAGCAGAAATGGACAATTTCATAATGACTAAAATCAGTCAGTTCATTCGTTCTATCATCCAGCGGGGAAGTAAGGTAATTTAGGACATTAGGTAAAATGGGATGAATGAGGGTTTACCTCCTGGGCTCTTTATAAATTAGCAGCCAGTCACCAAACGTGTTATTGCATTTTATCATTTTGACTGTCTGAGATAGCTAGAATGGGAAGAACGAAGATTCAAAAATGTCGCTGGTCCCAGAACTTGCCAGGTAAGCCGTGTGGCATGTAGATTTTTCTTTTTCTTTTTGGTAATAAAAGAGGTTTAAAAGGGTAAAAGGGTAGAACAGGAAAAAATGGTTGTGTGATGTTGCATTTTGTTTGACTTATAATCAAAATATTTTCACAATTCAATCAACTTATGAGTTTTGAGTGAGTACTTAATGCATCCAGGTAAAACTGGATAAAAAAATAAACTAAAATGGGGCATTTTTTTGAAGTGAAACCAGCATATTTTTAGGCTACCAGATGCCATAAAATCAATCATTATGCTTTTATGTGCCAGCCTGTTATACTACAGACATTAAAAGTGACATGGTGAGTCCATGTGAGCTACAACAGCCCAGAATTACCCATCATTGTTACACA